AGCTAGGAGTTGATTTTGCGCAAAGAAGAGAAGGTCTTTCTGGTCGATGCTAGGCTGACTTGAATAGGTTGTCGAGATTCAAGGTCATGGTCTGAAAAAGCTCTCTGCAGCAAAGGACGCAGTGTGCTGGCTGTATGTGACATGTATGAGTCCATGTTAGACTCTTTGTGCTGTAGCTTCTTAGTCTTGTCCAGCTGGAGCCATCACCGTCATCTATACTAGCAACCTCAGGCTATATGAGTAAATGATGTGGAGAAATACCTAAATCTTCCAACCGTGCACAAGCTCTGCCTTTTAATCCATCAAACCAGCCCAAAGGCATGAATTCTGCACAATTGGAAGCTCCAAGTATAAATATATACCCAAGTTTGTTCAGAAAGAAAGTCACAAGAATTGTGGCCCAAGCCTTGTGGTTCATGACGCAGAATGATCATGAATGATCCTCATTTCTCACCGCGGAGAGCTTGGCTTTCACGCAGCTTGGCTTGTAGATCTGGACCTGGCTGCGGGTCAAAACCTGGAGCTCCTGGGAGGTTGACCCTGCAGGTGGTCCAACCACACCCACCTGGAAAACACGAAAGGGGAAGCCGGGAAGTCGAGGAACTCGCTGCTCAGGTGCTCGCGCAAATCAACTGCGGTTGCGCAGTTTAAACCGGCGCCCGCTGCTCTGCGGCATCACGTGTGCGTCGGCGCCTCGGACTCAGAAAAAAAGGCCTCAACTCTGGTCTAAGGATACCTGCAACTACTTCCAAGGGACCTCAGGTAAACAGAGTAGACTCTGAGTAGACCCCAAATCTGGGATCTAAAATGAAAAACCATAGACTCTTGCTTCATCAAACCCACCCCCATTTGGCGACTTGCGGACTGTCTGGTCGCTTCTACGCCCACCCCAAAAACCCCCCGGAAAACCCGGGCACCTCATTCGGCTGGTCCGGTCGCTCCTTCTCCGGTCTCCATCCACAGAGTCGATACGCCAGCTCTTCGTACTCCTTCCTCTCCTACCGCAGTCGGGGGAAGCAGCTCAGACGGGTCGGACGGGTCGGACGTTCGTTCACGGACACCGGACACGTGGCCGGACCACGGCAGGTTTGAGCGCCCCGGAGTGTCCAACCCCCTCCTGCTTGCCAACTGATGGCTGGATCCGGCTTCTTGCTTGAGCCAGAAGATCAGTGGTGACCTGAAAGCAGGATGAGTTCCAAGACTCCATGCGTTCAGCCCAAATCTGCCTGCACCCCAGCTGCAGCGGCCAGTGACTTGTGCTCCTGCATGTCAGAAAAAGGACACCACGGTCTGAGGAGTCTCGACTCGCATCCGGCTTCAATTCAGGGACTCGGTCGGGTTTTTCGTCGTTTCCCCAGGGCTAGTCGAGCCCGAAATCTGGTCCATTTGACTTGACTCTCAAGACTTGACTTCACTGGGACTTGACTTGACTCTCCAGTGGACTCGACTTCTCCCCATTTTGGTCGTCGAGATCTTTTTCACCCAGTTCCGTCCTGTGCATCGCTCGTCTCGCGTGTCGGACTGCGAGCAGCGGAGTGACGCGCGTCAGCTCGTGCAGAACAAAAAAACGGTTTTGAACAGACCGTCATGGGCAGAAGAGGCAGAAGATCCAAAAAAAGCGCCTAAAACCCAGAACCATTGGAAAATCACCTGCTACATGGAAGATCTTCCAGCTATATAAATGTTGCTCTTTCCCGCCTAGCAGCTGCCCTGCGAATGGCCTGCATCGCAGCCTGCAAAAAAAGAAAGACAGTGTCCTTCTTTTGCGCCGCTGCACGTGATAGATTTCGGCAAGTTTGACCAAAAAAAAGAATGCCAGCTGCAACTAAAATGTCAAGAATGCCCACACAGCCCACCCTCGCTTTGACGTCTTTCACAACACGTTCTGCGCTCTTCTCACGGAAGGGGACCTTGCAGCCAAATCCCCAGTGTCACTGCCTCGCGTGCCAAGGATGCCAAGTCAGCTCCACTGAAGCCTTCCGCCTCCTCGGCAAATCTTGACAAGTCCTTAGCCACGATTTCGGAGGTCACCCGCATTGGGGAAATGATCGTAAATTGCTGGATCCTAGTCTTCAAAAACCTGAACAATGACTGCAACAGCGTCTTTCTTTCTCCAAGTCTAGGACAACATCTGCAGCCAATGGGAGCCTCTCGGAGCACAGAGGCAGGACCATTCAGGACTCTGGAGGTGTATTGAAATAGGAAGACCTTCCAGCTCGACCTCGTTTGAAGGAAGGAACATAGACACAAACATACCCAAACCATTTACCGTAATTAGTGGAGGTCTCCCTGTTTTGATACAAACCCATATTGATGTCTGTTTCAACCCACTTCATTCAGGGGCGCACTTGCGCATGTGCGTCCTCAGGATCTCCAAACGGCCTGCCTTAGTCCAAAGCAAAAAGAATGCACCGACTTCTTTGTTCAATGTTTTGTGCTATTGCCAAATGTTCATGCTACCCTACTAGTAAGAATCCAAGCGGGCCCTCCATGGCAGGGGTCTGGACCCGAACCAAACCCTGTCTATTTGAGGGGCCGGACTCTTAGGGCAACCAAAAAAGCAGCTGAACGCTGAGCACCACTCCGAGGATGGTAGCGGCACGTACAGCAGCCGATCCAGTCGACCCGGCCGCAGCATGGCCGGATCGACGATGTCCGGTCGGTTCGTCGCGGCGATCACGAAGACCTCGGCACCCGACCGGTTCCGTGCCGCGAAGGCCGTTGGAAGGGAGAAAAACGGGGAACGGAGAATCCCTTCAAACGTGGTACCACATACATGGTGGTTGGTCATGAAACCACAAACTGGGTTTGTTGCTGGGGTTCTGGCATTTCTTTGAAAAGTGCAAATGACTGTAATGTGAAAAGACTTGTGTGGCATTTGGATGGCTTGCAATCCTTCAAAAATGGAAAATACACGAGTCTCTGATTCAGATGGCAACCCTTTCACACGATCGCTCTGCATCCCTGTGCCATAATGCCATATCAATTCGTTCAATCCATCAGTGTGTGGCTGGCCGAACGTGAAATTGCTTGATCAGAACGTCTATGCCCGGGCACACCATGTATGGATGGAATGTATGCCTACCCCTCAAGTCGAAAGACTATATTTTGTTGCAGTGAAGTAAATGATGTTTTTTGAGATACTCTAAAGATCACTATCTTTCACAGTGTTTGACTCAGAACCACCCTAATGTCATATAAATCTGCCATACATGGAGTGTTTCATATCATATAACTGCCTACTAAGGTCGGTGTCATAACTTGCCTTTCCTTCGTCCGGACGTCCAGGCGCCTGCGAGCGCGACTGCACCCCATCCATTTCCGTCAGCATCTGGTTGACCACCTCGCACCGACGGGGCGCATGATCGACGCCGGCTGCGCCGTCCTCCCTGGCCGGTGAGCATTGACTCTGAGGGGCCGCGCGCGTTCGGAGGAACCGTTGCCTTCTGAGGACCTGGCGGTTCGGTGGAGGAGTTCGGAGGAACCGGTGCCGGTTGGCGGAGAGTCGGAGGTGTTCTGTCAGTTAGATGGACTGTTCATGAATCAAAGCGCTGGAGATATAGCATGAATCAATCAGACGGGGTGTGATTCAGTACACACATTTGAACAGGGAGACACCCCAAACCGAGAATGGCACTCCTGTCGCTCCGTCTGGGCGGCCACACGTGGCCGTCCCCCGTCCCTCCCCACGAAGGAGCAAAACCTCCGTCCTCACCCTGCGTGGGTGGAAACCCCACCCACCGAACCCCAACGAACCCAACGAACCACCGAAACCCACGTGGCCGTCCCCAGTCCCACCCCATCCGCGACGCGCCCGGCGGACCCCCGGTGCCGCCCCGAAAGCCTCCGAGGCACCAGAGCATCGAGCTCATCGAAGAAGATCACGCCTCAGACTCGGCGCGTTCGCCTGGGTGGGACGTGCCCTTCGGTGTCTCCCCGGTGGTCTTCCCGTGTAAGCAAGGGTGGACGTGCCTTCAGTCCAACCATCGATATTGCAGCGATTCAATGCGAAGGACGAAGCAAGAGTCTCGATGGATCACGTCCCATTTGGATGCTACCCGCCGTGGATGCTAAGTCCTTTACAAAAGAGTTCAGGGAGAAAAACCGTCGAAAAACCTCTTCAGGCTTGGGGGGTGAAATATCACGAGTCTACATTGGCTGGTGGTTTGGGAACTTGGTGGCTCTATGTGCAAATTCTTCTCAAGCATCTCTATATGTCATGTACAGCTATGAAATCATACCCTAGGCTTCCAACCACCATGCTTTTAGTTTCGTTACCAAACCGCAATTGTTTTACTAAGGATTTGACACTACGAAAACCAGATGAATCGCTCCACAAGCCGCACTGGACTCTTCTTCGACCCCACTCCAATCTCCCTCCTCCCTCACTGTTCCTCCCTCAGGGTCGTCGCAGGGCGCGGAGCTGCGCGCCCGTTGGAAGACCAGCCGCACGGCGCGTTCCGACCTCGGACCCCGCGGTGTCGGTCCGGCACCGGTAACTGCGGTTCGTCTCTGATGAGGTGCAGACGTGAGCGTCCAAGTGTTCAGCGTGATGAAAACGGGTGAAAGAGCAGAGCACCTTTTTAAAGAAACACCTGGAAGGATGGGCTATGTTGTGAAGCCTGAGATGCCGGCTCTCCCACGTACTTGTTGAGAAGTTCTGGCCCCTGACGTCTTCGCAGGTGGGACTCAGTTCTTGTGGATAGGGGTAGCTCAGCTCTTGTGGATGAAAAGAGTCCACAAAGGTTAGAACAGAGTTCCTGCCATATCCTTCAACTTTGACACCCACTTTCTTGCCCACTCCTTGACAGCAATGAAGTTGGCACCACTTTGATTGGCTGTGGCCTGACAACGACACGCGTTCCGAAGCGTTCTGCCGGAGAAAGAATCGGAAAAAAAAAAAAAACAACAACAACAAAAAAAAAAAACAAAACATCCCGGGCAAGAACACTGCCAGTTGACCTGGTCAAACTGTCTTATGCTGGAACGCGCACACCCGAGTCGCGTGAAGCTGCTGTGATCTTCGCCTTCCCCTTGTCCTTGTCGGACGTGTACACGTTGCGCTGTGACTGTACATGGACGTGTGTATTTGTGTTAGACCGAAAGCATGCTTGCGCGCGGAACGTCACATGGCTCAAGTCTTCAATGAAAATGAAGAATCGAATCATTCAACTTGAATTCGCCCCGTGGGGATCTGCGATAGCATCTACACTCCTCTTCTTTGACCATATCGCACATGCTTGATGAAAGGTTCCTCTGGTGGCTCAGGTGGGCCTGAGGATTTTCCGGCCAAGGAACAAGTCGGTATGGTATGGCAGGTTGCCTCCATGTTCTTCCAATTCGCCAGCACATTTGGGGAGCACGCGGGTCCTCCACGCAGGCCCCTGCTCACGTACTTCGTGGAATGAACCCGAACAAGAGTGTCGACTCTTGGATGCTTGTAGTCCACACGGGTACACCCTTCAGGCGGTCCCACGTCACGGGCGCTTGCCCATGTGGTGAAAAAGGAATACCCCTGCGTTCTCCGTGAAAGAAAAAGCTTCACCGGCAAAACCACCTCCCCTCCGAACTCCTCCACACCGACCTCCGAATCCGCAGCCGCCTTGGCTAAAAGAGTCTTTCCACAGCCCGGAGGTCCAAAGAGCAGCACACCCACCGGCACGGTCAAGCCTCGTTCGACCATTCGACTTCATTCGATTCGACCCTTCGACCCGCTAAGGGGGCCAATCAACCGTTGGGTGGTCGAACTACTGCGGAAGTGGCTGAGGAGTCACGTTTCGGTGTTCTATTTTTTGAAAGTGTGTGATTCCGGCAGGTCTTGAAATTAAAAGAAACGCGTTCTGTCAAATAAAGATGAACTGTTTGAGAACAGGCTCTGATGCGTAAAACTGATGTCGATATATATATATGTCATCTAGATTGTCACATGTTCTCACCTATTCTGTCTACTCCAGGACAAGTACAGCTTCAATCGGCAGTTTTTGGGACAAATCAGGTCGCGCTTGCTCCTCAGTGTCATTTTGACATCTGGAGGCTAGGACAAAACAGATTCACGCAAAAGGAACATCAAGCAGGCTTATCCACTCTCCAAGCAGGATTGGTGCCCGCCCCTGCGTACGGGAGAGCCACAGGCTGATTCCCAATTCCGGCTCCAAGTCCATAGCCCGGGCCATAATTTGGATAGTACATGGGCGGGGCACAGGCTGGAGGCGCCATTGCAGGTGCAGTTGAGACTGCCACAGGTGCTGCCACCGGTATGGGTGCAGCAAAGGCTGGAGGCACCACTGCAGGTGCAGTTGAGACTGCCACAGCTGTCGGTGTCTCCATTAAAAGGACCGGTGGGCCTTGAGTGACACAAGTGCCAGGGGCACCTACGACCACAGCGTGTGCACTGGGCAGAGTGGGTGGTAGCACATCGGTGCCCAATCTCTGGATCTGCGCCATCGGCGCCTCTCCAGCAATCTGAACCTTCGACTCGCACTTGCGGAAGTACGTGTGGAGCTCCTCAAGTCATGGGAGCGCCATCAAAAATGCTTTCGTCTCTTGGCATGCCTTTTCATGTATCTGCAAACAAGCCACAGAAGCCGCCAAGTTCACCTCAAGACCGGTTCTTTTCAAAAGACTCCAAGTCACCCGATAAAAAGAACTCACCAAGCAACCCAACCCCAAGAGGCCCCAAGAGGCCCCAAGAGGCCCCAAGAGGCCCCAAG